CTAGACGATCTTTCGAAGTCCCTTCCAACCCCTGACATTCTGTGATTCTGTTATTCTGTGACAACCATCTGCACATGCAGACAAAACTGGGTGGTATGTGAGCTGGTGTTTTCATTACTAATTGTGCTGTGACAGGTTCCTGCCAGGCTGAAGTGTTTAAATCATGTGAATGCTGCAGGGCTGGTGCTCCCCGTGGGCTCACTCAGGTACTGCCCCACCGCTGAGTTGGCAGTAGCTGCCTCTCGCCACCTCGCTGGTGGAGATTACCATCCTTTCCAATATACCAGCTTAGGTGGCTCTTCCCACCTGCTTCTACCTTGAATCAGGTTCCTTGATTTGAGATGGATTAAACAGTTTAAAACCAAACTCAACAGAAAATAAAATAAGACAATTACAACATCAACTAAGCTGGCAGGTGGATAGAATGAGTGGATGGACAACTGAGTTCTTAGGTGGGAACAAATACCTTGGCCTGGGACCTGTACAAAGAGTTGAAAGCAGAAAAGGGGTGAGGGCAATTTTGTCAGAACATGCAAATTCAGAAGTGAATGAATGTATCATCACCCTCCATGAACAAAAAGGTGCCATTTACCTGTGCAATGAGGATTAAGGGACCTGGCTATTACTTCTGCAACAAAGACTTTGTCTCATCACCTCATTCGGCTGCTTGATCTAACTTCTTAATCTAGTTTAGGTTCTTTCCCTCTTGCAGACGTATCTCTGTGTATGTTTTATACACATGTATGTGTCTGTGCATATAGCAGGAAAAATATGTATTTAGAAGTTGAAATCGTCAGAATTACAGTTTCCTGTTCACCTCAGCATGAAAAGTCTCGTTTTCAGTCACAATTCACTCATCTTGTGCCTTTACACTATTAAGTCATTTTAATCATGTGAGTGCAGACTTCCTGGCCACTCTCTGCCCTACTCTCTGTTTCAGTCCACACATAAGTGCCACCAGTATTATTGTTGTTCATTTTGCTGTGGCTCTAAGCAGTCTCAAAGGGGTCTGGATTCAAAGCACTGTCAGTGACCAAGGTGGAAGACTTCAGACAAAAGGCCCAGGCATGCTCGCAGGCTAAAAGAGCTAAAGCTTAGGTACCTGACAAATCTTATTTGCAATAAGGTCACAGGCATCTGTTCCATGTGGTGTCTGTCATGACAGCTCCTGGCAGTGCAGTGCCCTGGCCATGAAGGTGACCTGGAAAGTGGGAAGAGTTGCGGTTCTTTGCCTCATTGCCAGCTTGGGGAAACGGAAACGAGCAGGAGCCAGAATCTTGGCGCTAACAATGTTCAGCATTAGGGAGTGATCTTCCAAGGATTTTGTCTCATCAGTAATTTAGCCTCTCTCCACAGGCCTGCTGGGGTGTGCAGTGTTTTGTAGTGCTGATGCCTTGTTACTGCTGCCTTCTGCAGCCATCAGCATACCCATACTACTCTCCACGTTAACAAAGAGCTGATGCTTTTCTTCTTTACCTTCTTTGCCCCCCAGTGAGATTATCTCACACCACCCTTCTTCCATTGTACTCACCATGGAATTCTTTTAAGTCAGGTTTTCCAGGCGGTTCAGAGTCCATCTCAGCTCTTAGAGTGGATTCTGGTTCATAGCTTATGCACACTCTGAGAAATGCATTGATAGTGGTTCTGGCTTTGATTTCTTTTTTTTTTTAATTTCTATGTAATTTTTTTTAAAGTTGTTATATTTTTCTTCTGCATTTCTCAGGTGTGCAGCACTTATTGTACAAGGGAGCAACCACCTCAAACATCTTCTTGGATTGTGTTTGGGATCACAGAATCATAGAATCATAGAATGGCCTAGGCTGGAAGGGACCTTAGAGATCATTTAATCCAATCTCCCTGTCATGGGCAGGGACGCCTCTCAACTAGATCAGGCAACACATGGGGACCAAACGAGATCGCACCCGCGACGTGACTACAACATTCCTATGGACAGCATCAGAAAATGAATGTAGTTAATAGTTACCTGGTAGAAATGAGAGACTGAGATAGTGGTGTGGATCCACAGCAAATCTCAGTGATGTGGTTTTATGATTACTTGCAGCAAGGAGAAAGTGCAACCAGAACCCTAATTTTATTATAATTAATTCAAAACAGGTTGTAGCAATATCCTTTACTGCTTGCATGAGGCACATCCACCTTATTTATGGTTACAATGAAAAAAGTCACCATTGTAAAAAATTCAGATGGCGATGTGAGAGACAGCAGTGAAATAGTCTGAATATTGTGGTTTGTGAATACTGTGAAAATTGTGCTATGAATGGGGACTCAAAAGAGCCTTTCAAATCCTGAATTTTAGGACATGGACAAATAAATGAGGCAGACAGGGACACAGTCCCCAAACTAGTTCTGAGCACTGCCTGTGGACAAGATGTCTTCTGAATAAGGAAATCTTCCTTAAAAAGCCAAAAAGTTGAATGCAAAGCCAACTAGGCTATCAGTGGCTATCAGCACTAGGAGCCAGGCAGGAAGCGGCTCTTCTAAATATCAGGCCTTCATGTGGAGCAACTTTATTTTTCCGTACCATAAACCTAGGAAATATTTTAATATCTTTTGTTGAGCTATTCATCTCTACTTGATAGCCCCAAAGATCTATTCGCTGACTCCAGCTGACAGGGATTAGCTGATCCAAACCATTTAACTGAGGTACTCTGCTTCCTGCTGGGTTCCTGGTATCAGAGACTCACTAAGGATGGACTCTCTTTGCAGAGGAGATTTGATAAATAATTAATAAACCTACAAAAACCTAGAAGCAGAACAAGGGAAGTCCATACTCAAGAGAAGTGTTTAGCAATAGAGAGTTTACCTGTTCTATTATCACCTTGAACAATTTCTTAGATATAATCTGAAGAATACAAATAATCTCTTGGTCACAAAATGGGTTGAGGTAGTTTATTCTGGTAAATAATACTTATAAATTAAACATAGCTGTGCTTAAAGCTCCTATCTGGGATTAGGCCAATATTGTGCAAACTGATTTAAGAGACAGGAGAGAGATTTCTAGCTGGCCAAAGTGTTTATATTCTTATTTCAAATAACAAATTAAAAAATTGGTGCAAAAAAGTTCGAAAACGGAAAATAGTGAATAAAGATTTGGGAAAAATGGTTCCTGAGCCCACCTATGTGAGCAGCTATCTTTATTAAATGTCACTTTTTTATTACAAATGTATAAGAAATCAAATGTCACTACTCAGTATTTGCTAGTTACCTAGTTTTACTTTCAGAGAATATGATGGTATAACTTCAGGGTTTAGCCATGTGTCAGAGTTGCTAGGTGTTCCAGTGAAGTGAATAAAATGTGTAAAATGTGTATAAAATGGAGTAACTCTGCACCCATGGATGAACAGGTTGTACTTGTTTTGAACTTGTAAAAATGGGACCGGTCAACCAAAGAGGTGATTTATAAAGAAAAAATGCTACCAGGTATATTCAGTTGTGTGAAAGCAATTGGACTAGCCAGTGGGAAGTATATAATGCAGCATGGCAGTCTTTAATTTACCTCTGGAATGTATCAGTACCCTCAGCATTTCCAGATCAGAAATGTTCTGTGATAAGGCTTTTCCCTTTCGGCACCATTTTTCAGCTAGGTACTCCCTTTAACCCTGATATTCTCTTCTACTTTCTCATGGTCTACACACACCCTGAGAGCTCAGCAACTGGCAACTGCACTACCTGTGGTTTTCTGACCAATTTCACCGACAAGTTTCTCTCTATGCAGGTAGCTCTTTCAGAATTATCTTATTTCAATCCAGATGTCATAATTCAGTTCTTTAAACCAATTTTGTATGACGGATAATCTTCAGAACAATGTCTGCCACCAAAAAGGGCAAAATGTCCCATCTATCTCAAATGTTGTAGAGTCTTACTTATATTGGTGTGGTATTTTCTAATAACTGTTCAGTTGATAATCATGACTGATTTATCTGTTTTACTGTGTTTGCAATGATTTTTCTCCTTCACAATTATTACCCAAAGTATTTGCTCTCGGACCAATTTTGGCCCTATTGAAATTAATGTGTACACCCACTGTCTTTGTTGGGACTGAGAATTATCACTATTTTAAGCACTCTTGTTCTGTATTTAAAGCCCAGCTAGCCATCAGAGCTGTTAATAATAGTTTTGGAAGTGTTTATTATTTTTGCTACTGTATCACATGTATCCACACTTACAAATAATAAAAAAAGGATTAATTCAGTTCCAAAGTACACAGAGACGGGCTTGCTGAAAGCCAGTGGTATTGCACACTCTTATGCCAGACTCCAACTGGCTGCTTGGCTGAAACACCATCCTTTTATGTATTTTGTTCTAGGTTGTTTCTTTGGCTGATACAGGAACTAAATCAAATACAACTGTTTATGTGACTATTCAGGTCTCGGTTTTGCTTTCAAATTTGTAGGATGAAAAATGCATCAAGAGGTCACTTTTGCAATACCAGTATTTTTTACAAGACCACTGTACAGGAGACTGAACAATCACAAGTGACGAATATTAATTGTGCATTAGTTCCGATTTTAATATAACACAAATTACTGAATAGTATTTCTATACTGAGTTACTGGAGCAAACTGCTTTTCTACTTAAATGAATGCCATGGTTTTTCATGTAAGACCACTGAACACATAGAGAATCATACCAGTGGTGTTATGAAGCAGATTGTTCCACTGATTTTGACGTGTGGAGACATTATAAGGAAAGTAGGTCTTCCTCAGCGCCAGTAAAGAGAACAGCTTTCCTGGTTTCAGACCTTCACATTTTAAGTTTTAGTTCTCTGGGTTGTCTTAGACCGAGTTGTGCTAGTGACCTGTCAGCAAGAATTCCCTCAAAGCAGAGGCATCCTTTGTACTCATTTTCTCTTTGAACACTTGGCCTCCATTGATGAGGGAAAAATGCTAACCTGTTCCTAAGAACTTCTTTACGGTTTGTGAGCTCTAAGCCCTCCTTAAAAAAAAAAATAAACAAATTTAAAGAAATTACTGCCAAACTTCTCCAATGATCTGGAATTTTATTCCATCCATATACATGCATAGTAACAACATTTGTTGAGAAATTATTTCTATCAGAAGTAGAACATTATCTTTGTGATCACCAGTTGCAGTATTGCTACTCTTATATTTAAATATATCTTATATATGAATTAGATTCATAGTTGCAGCATTGAGTTTAGGGTTTTGTTTTAGACTGTGCCTTTCAAAAGATAAAACTGATTGATATGACCTCATTACTTACAATACTGCTTCCAGTAATTTTGTTCATTCTTTATAAAGTATTGCATTTAACAGCAAAGGTTTAAAAATTGAGACAGAGATGCATCAGCGAAAGAAAATACAAGTACTATACAAGAAAAAAATTGCCATCTTCATTTAACGTACGTTTCAGATTAAGAAAGTGGACAGAAACATACTGCTACATACAAATGCAAAGCCTAATGACTAAGGTACTGTATCTGCTAAAATATAAAGTGCAAACTGAGCCCAATTGTTCAAAAAATTGAAATTTAAGGCGAACTTTACAGCATAGTTGAAACTTCTTTGCAAGTTATATTTTAGCCTATACATGTATCTGCAACAGCATATAAGAAAAAAAAAATCAGGATACACAAGTGCTTTTGAAGCTATTTCTAAAATGCTTTTCTGTATTGTTTGCCACTATTTTCTTTAAAATCTACTATACAGTGCAAACCATATGTGCTACACAATAACTATACAATAACATTACAAATGACTTTAATATAAAGTTTTTAAATAAAAAATAACATAACTACAGCTATGAATACTGCTGGTAAAATAAATTAATATTTTTGAAAATGGCACCAATAATACACTTTACTAATGGACTGTAATGAAATTACACCTTTAAGTCTTCAACTCGGCAATAGTGAAATCTCCTGATTGTCCAGATGTAATTCAAACAGCTTTCTTTTTACTGTATGGAACAATATGCTAAACACAGGTACCAAAGGTGACCGATTGTTTTCATTTGACATGTTCTGCTGCATGTGATGAGCAATAAAACTTCTTGTGAGTTATAAAGTTTGAAAGATTGTTGAACTGGATGTCACACAGTCGGCAATACTTTCCACTGCTCGGGGCCTGGGTAGAACCATTCACTCCTTTAGCTATACTAGACAACTGTTCCTCTGCTGTAGGAATTGCTGGAGAGACATTTTCATTTGCAGTTAAGGGATTCTCAGACATCCAAGAAGGAGACTTGTGCCCATCTTCATGCGGTGGATTCTGGGAAATGTTCTCTTGCTGTGGGTTTGTGGCAGGTCTTTCCTCCTGTTTCAGTCCCCCATTAACTATTACCATGCCTCGGTTTTTCGGCAATAGTGGAAGAGACTCTTTCTTCTGCACGGCACATCCATTAGAAGGCACCTGGCCTTTAGGAGATTCACTTTCTGTATTTGTGCTTTGATCTAAATCAGTATTATGAATGACGAGAGAACCAGAAATGTAATCGCTTGGCTTTATTCCATAATACGGAGAAAGCTGATCTGCTCCTTTAGCTTTCTTTATTGCTCCAGGGTAAAGGCATTGTGGAAGAAACAAATGTTTGTTTTCTTCTTTTGTGGCAATAAGCTGGGCTGCTTCACTAAAGACTTTTAGTCCTTGAAGTGTTGCTAAGTGTGTGGAAAATAAGTTTCCATTAGGAGAGGACTGTTTTGAGTTTCCATTTTTCTCACATTTGATTATGCTTCTTTCATAACTGACATCTGGGCTGTTTCGTTCACTTTCTGGGTTTTGAAAGACCTTACTGTCGAGTTGTCCCAGGTCGTTACGCTGATGGGCAGTGACAGGGCAAAAATTCTGCTTGTGAGCCAAGTAGTTCTCCACCTTGTTAAAACTGATCTTGCATACTGTGCACTCATGGTAGTCCAGCAGCCTTTTAGGAGAAGTGGATGTCCTCTCTGAAGGGGGTAAGCATTTTTTACTGAGATCTATTGGCACATCCATCTCCAAGCAAGACACTGTGGAGTGAGGAGTATCACACTTTGAAACCGGAACGCACTTGTTAATAGACAGCGATGTTTCCAGATGCTTCGAGACTATTCCTGGAAAGATATCACATCGTGGATGGTAACATTCTCCAAGGCTCTCTGTTGACTCTTGAGTAGATGTACAAGGATTGCCAAGATTAGCCACATCCAGAAACCGCTGCTGAACTAGTGGTGGCCTTTGCTCTTGCTCTGGTAGGCACATCTCATACATCTTCCTCCGCTTCCGGGTACGCATCGTTCTCTGCATGGCAGGCACTTTGTTGGAAGCGGACCTCTTCAGTGGGGGATCGTGGCGAGTGGCACAGTAATACTGCTTGTGGACCATGTATGTTTCATGTCTGCTGAAAGTAATATTACAAGCCTCACACGTGGTCTTGTTAGGATCGCTCTCCCCTTCCACTAAAGGAGCACTGGGATTCTTCACATCGGCAGGTTTTCCGTTCATTTTCTCATCACCGTTGCTTGCAGCCGACAACTTCTTAGATTGCGCCGTAAAGTCTTTCTCATGACTTTTACTGTTTGGCCCGATCAAATCTAAAACACTGGAAGAGTTTATGCAAGATGTCTGCAGAAGCTGGTTCTCTGGATCTGATGTGTGAGGAGCTGCATTCAGGATGTTTATAGAGCTTTGACCATTACTGGGACTTACAGCTTCTGGCATTTTTTCTGGAACACCGGAAAAATCTGGTGACTTTGCCATCTGCTGCCATCGACTGCTGCAGTAATGCTTTTTGTGTACCAAGTAGTTGTCCAAATTGTTGAATGTTATGTTGCACTCAAAACATGTAGCCCCTTTGGGCATCAAAGGACTGTAAATTACAGGAGGATAATTGCTACTTCCATGCCTCAATCTTCGATGGACCAGTTCAGACATTTTGGCTAATATTTCTGAAGCCTGAGGAACCACAGTGATGTCTTGGGGAAAAGCAAACTGGGAAAGAAAAGGTCCCATTGGAAAAGAAGGACCAATATTAGGCTGAACTGGCGATGAAGCAAGTCTTGGACTGGACGGTTCAGATTTTATTTTAGTGTATGAAAAACTCTGCTTATTTGTTGTAGGCTGGGTTTCTGGCCTCTGGTTTGGAAGGAAAAGCGGAGCCTTTTTTTCACATTTATCAAGCTCTGTATCAGAACTTGCATCTTTAGTCTGCATGGTCTTTTGGCTCTGAGGAATATCACTTCTGCTCAACACGTCCGTGGCTGGCTGTAAACCTTCTTCATTTCCACTTGGAGAGTGTTCAATGTCACTTTCTCTCTGAATTTTGCTGCCAGAGACATGTAATTCTTGGTGCTGCAGTAGCTCCCTCTGAGTTTGGAAGCCAAAGTGGCAGTGATTGCATCTAAAGGCAGCTTGAGTAAGATGCGAGAACAGGTGCTGATGAAAGTTAATCACTGAGTCTGCAGTGTAAGTACAAACCGTGCATTTCAGACTAGCACCGGGTGGGAGAAATTCTTCCATTTTCACTCCTACAGAAAAGACAAACAAAACACAAAAAGAAGTGACCATTCTGCCCTTCATGAAGTACACTGGAACATCAGTTGCACAGAAGGCAAAAATGCTGTGAGAACAACAAATTTTCTTCTGAGGGGATGGTATTAGTCACCTTGAAAATACTTGAATTGGTTCAGAATTTCTTTCCTCGAAATGCTAGAGGATATTCCCAGATGTCTGCTCTGCTTTGGAGAGCCTTAGTATCTGCATGCATTCAGCAGAGATGAAAGACATGACAAGGGAAAGAATAAAAATAGGCTGGACTTACTCTAAATGAATGGTCTTAGAAATCACAGTTTTAACTAAAGGAGACATAATGTTCCCCATACACAATCACAGGAAATTTTGAATGCACAGAAAGCACATCAAGGTCAAGAGGCTCAAGGTTATGATGTGACTTGAGGTACAAACTCAAGAGTGCCCGAGAGCCACAGACAGAGGAGAAGTAGAATTTTGAGCATTATTGATGCTCAGCTCTTTGCCTGCATGAGTCAGCTGTAGTGTGGCAACACGATACAGATCCTCATCAGAAGGGACTGATGAATTGCCTTCACTGTGAAAGGAGGAGAAGGAGTAAGATGTGGCTTTACCAGCATTTTATCTTCCACATATAATGTCTGTAGGCAACTGCTGTTGTAATACAACACCTTTTCCTCATGAAATCACTACAGCTTTCCCTATCAAGAACACTACATTCAAAGCCGTCTTACAATCACTGCTGAAACGAAAAACCCCATGTTTCATGGTATTGTGAAACTGAAATGGCTTTAAAAAGAGATAAGACTAAAATTCTCTACTGCAACAACACAGATACTGGTTAACTGTTAGACAATAAAAACAGAAAAAATCTTGGTAGGGATGATAATTTGAAGCTAAAATGGGTATTTATTCTGTCTACACACACACATATACCATGCCTTGGTCAGGTAAACTAGACTTGTGCTATATAAAGCTGTAAACATAGTGTGGCTCAATCTGTGGGAAGTTATTCTGTTGTACCTGGAGGTCCTCACTTTTCCCCTACCAGCCGTGACTCCGTCAGTAGTGAGGGACATTTGAATCTGACCTACTCTTGGCCTCAGAGACCAGAAGGGAACGGAGGAGACACACAGCACTTGAACCAGTGCTTGCTCCCCGTCAGGCACTCTTTCACCAGGAACTCATATGAAGCTTTAGCTCCTCCACTGCCATGAGATGGTGCTTAATACATTTCCACGTCATGTCACACAGCCACACTGGAGCATCTCTATGGACTTTGCATCGCAACTGGGGCTCCATGATCCAGTGGTGTGGGTCTGCTACAGCCCCCAGCAGGAACAGTAACAGAAGTTGAAGCAAACACAGCACTAGCTTACAGGGCATTTGGGAAAAGAATGCTTCACTCCTGCTGCAGCAGCTGTTATAACTTGTGACAATCTGTGTAGAAAAACAAAAGATTGGCAGGATCTGAAAGACAGCAAGAATGATTGAACTGCCTGGTTTACGACTAAAAAGAAGGGGAAAGCCTGACTTCTAGACTCCTCAAGTAACTCAGAGATCAAGCAGCAGCCGTCTGGATTCCTGAGCACACCTTCATCAATAAGGAAAATGCTGCCTGTATGAGTGTATGCATGCATTAAGAGAGACAACATCCAAATGAGGATGAGTACATAAGAGAAATGACACAGATTACCTGGGAGAGGTGCTTGGTGTAGGACGCAGGTCAGAAACTATTGACATTTTGGTAGTATCGACACCCAATGCTTGCATATATTTGGAGATACATTGATCCACTGAATGTCTATAGTGAATGATTCTTCAAACAGCTAAATCTAGAAGATGATATAGGAAAATATACTGTACTTACCACTGTGAGAATTTAGATGCATTTCTAGAGCTCTTGCATTAGAAAAGCTTTTGGTGCACTGTGGAAAGGGGCAGACACTGGATATCTGCTGAGCACTATCTTCATTCTCCTCTGACAGCTGAGGCCCCTCTCTTTGCCTCCCGCTGCAGTAATACATGAGATGGGCCTGCAGGTTCCTCTCGCTTCGATACCAAATGCCACAGGATTTGCACGGGAATATGTCCTCTACAAGCAAATATAAGCAGGTGCAGGTTAGCCACGATGCACTGAGTGCCAAGCAATTAACACAGCTGGATTAATTCCCCTCATTTCCCCATTAAATGCATGCTTATTTAATAAAATATTGAAAACAGAGCCATGGTTTTATTAAAATGTCACTTGTAGGTGAGAGACTGAACACGGAAGACAGTTGTTTCTTTCAAATGGAATTTTTAAAAAGTTATTTAAAAGCTCTGAATTTTTTGGAATGTCATTATTAAAAAAAAAATAAATTAAATTAATTGTTTGGGTGAATATGCAGTACTAAAACAAGCATAAAGCTGTATTTCCAATTCATCACTACTCAGTAAGTGACAGCTTTCAATTGTGCTTTTTTTTTTTTCTGTGTGAACAAGTCTTTGCAGCATTGGGCCTTAGAATTTTTAAGTGCTAATTGCAGATTATTCTGAAGAATGTATGTTTGCATAATGCTTATGAAGTTATCCCTGTAAAATCGTGTTGCTCTGATATCCAGGAGGCCAGATTAGATTGTGTATTCTTAAGACCTTACAGCATTGAACGTAATATTATACCAAGCAGCATGTTTCTTGTCGCTATTGATATGAGAAGTTGAAATTTCTGATGTACTTTTGTCCTCTTGTTTTTGGTAAATTGTTACCGTTCCATTTTTCACTGTGCAAAGGGGATATCTGCTAATAATGATACATTTTTTTTATTGTCTTCTACCCTAAAGTATCAGCATCCTCTCTGAGGGGAAGACAACACAAGGGTTGCACAGAGTGCTTCCCGGCAGCAGAGGGAGTAGGTATTTTGATCATGTACTGAAGGCTACATGCTTTACTCATGTGAAGAGTAACAATGAATATTGTGTATTTACACAAAGCAAACAGATATTTGGTTGTTAATATCCTGTCAGAAGGATACTTACACAATACATGTTGTGTATCTGTCTCAGAAGGACAAAAGACCTCTTTGATCTTTCTGAAAGCTGAACTTGTCATCCTACCCAAGGAAGAAATCCCAGCCCTTTAGAGTACATCCCCACTAGTAAATTAAACAGTGACAGGGTCCAGACTAGAGCACCAGAACTTACTTGTTTATATCGTTAACATCACAAGAATGGTCTCTTTTGGCTTAAGTCAATTAATCCTTTTGCCATGCTTACACACAGTTCAGGAGTTACCACGAGCCTAGGATCAGTACCTGCAACTGGCTAGGACACTTCTAGCCTCTTTTAGAGACTAAGAGAGGATAAAATTATGAGTGCAGCCAGACTGTGCCAGCTGACCTCAGGATCAGAGAATGGGCAATTGCAGTCAGCATCAAAACACATCTTGGTCAACATCAAAACTCCCACTGACTTCAGAATGCAAAAAACTGCTAGATATTGTAATGAACTTAGTCCTGAAGAATGGTTGGCTGCTCTGAAAATACAGAATGTGTAGCTGATGTTGTAATTCACTATCATTCATGCCAATTTATGTTTAATTCCAAACATTCACATGTATAGGATAATTGCTCTGTTCCAATTCCTTTGGGTGAACAAAGTTGAAGATTCCAGGCCGCTGAAATGGATGAGTCTTTTATTTGTTAAATTTCTACAAATGCAGCCAAAATTAACATTGCTTAGTTTGCTGCACTGACTGCATTGCTAACGCTTGCCTGTTTTTCTGCTAATAAATTTGCACAAAATATCTACACCACTACCAGTTTGTATTTTTCCCTCTGCCACTGAATAATTGCACATGAATTTAAGATATACACATTCAATGGAGCAGTTAGTATTTCAGTATATGCCACTATTAAAACATTAGTGTACAGCTTGCATCATTTGAAATGTCCGTCTCTTGTGAAAGCTGATGTTTCAGCATTTGTTTTTGGCTTCAAATGGTTTTAAAAAGTTCAACCGTTGAGGTTTCCACAGAAGAAAAAGCACAAAATTAATAACAGAAAATTCTGATATGGGCAACACATCCTACTTGAATTTGCTTGACTGCATTCCATCACAGAAATGAACTTTCTGATTATCTTAATGAATTTGACTTCCAGCCATCTTTATTTCCTATGGGCTAGATGGCCTGGACAGTCTGTAGCTTCAGTTATGCATGGTGAATATGTGATTCCCATTACATGCCATGCAGGGAAAATGCATTTGAGGAGTTTTGCCTGGTGAGAGGACGGAATTCCAGGGACAATAATGTATAGGGATGGGATCTGAAAGTACTGCTCTCCTAAAGCAATGCAAAATACATAAAGGCTACTTGAAGTTAATGTTTTAATTCTTTAAAAGCAACATATTTCAATTTGTTTCAATAGATATTTTCCAAATATTTCAATGAATCAATTCAGGAAATGAAACATCCAGGTTCAAACTGAATGAAACAAAGGTGATAATCTCACTCAGTTTTTCAAATAGGAAATGTCAGGTAACATTAAAAAAAAAAAACCTGCACCACTTAAGTTTTCTAGAAACTAGTGGGTTTTTTTGTTTTTTTTAAGAGACCTAGAAAAGAATGTTTAAGAGATGTCTCACTACAAATCTACAGGTGCATTCAGCATATTGAAGGACTCGTATCTAGCTTGAAACTTCACTGAAGAAACTGAATTTCACTAACGTAACAATGAAATGTAGAAACTGCCCCACCTGGTCAGAGGCAGAAGCAGAACTGGGGAGGAGAGTTCCCGACAGTGAGACTTGCTAGTTCAGGAGTCTCCTGGAGTACAGAGGTTACTCCCAGCTGCTGCTAAGCCTGTACATCGAGAGCTGATGCACCATCAACTCAGACTTCTGTTAGCAGCTTAAGCAGCAACGATCAGTGCAGCTCTGCAAAAGGCAGTGCTGGCAGCAAAGGTGTTTCCAGAAACGTGATGCTTTAGAAATCTGGCTACTTTGCCGAAGTCCAGAATTGGCCTTGTGTAGATTTGCACAATAATGCATCTGCAACTAAAACAAGCTGTGAATGAGCTTCACCCTTTAGGCTAGGTAACTCCCTCCTTGGTGTCTCCCTTGCACTGGTCTGCCCTACCTGGTGGTCCATTTTAGGGGCTTCCGACACCTTCTTTTGGAAATGTCCTGCACAGTGCTAACTGCTGGTTCTGGGAACAGGCATAACAGCTCACAGCAGCCCCACTCTTGGGGTAAAATTGAAAGCATTTAGCTAAAGGGCTTGAGGTTGCTGCCAACTCCCTGTCTGGGAGGAAGAACCTGGATGACTCGGACATTTTAAGGTTTATATTTTAAAACAGGCTAACAATCAAGATTGGCTACCCAGAAAATAAGCAACTGAAAAAAAAAAAAAAGAGAGAGAACATGGAATGAAACGTACGAAAACAGGTATTTTAACTAGTCCTGTCTGAAGAGCTTGAAGATGCTGTGACTGTTAAAGACAGTGTTATCTGGTGTGAGCCTGAGTGGCAGATCACGTGTCTGCACGTGCATTCACACATGAAATACTGTGTTCAGTAGTTCACTATATCTAATTACAATGCTTACAAACCATGAGAAGCATGGGGAAGTGCTCCAGCACCAGGTCTAAATGGACAGGCTTACAAAGCGCTGGCAGCTAAGGATGTGCAACAGGTCTAAGTGATGAGTGTTGAGAATCATGGCAACAGCTAACATATTTGAAAAGTAGTTAGAGACGAGGCTGAGGACCTAGGGCTTTATAAGGGTAAGAAAGGTAAAAAGCAGTGAGAAGAAAAAAAATAAAGAAATAAAATTTACTTCAAGCTGAATTGTCCCAGTTCAGGAACTGACTTATCATATACCCATGTCCCTCCTCTCTAAGGACAGTACTTAACTAGATGCTGTATTTTGTCCGTGATACAGTATATTGATGTCCAGAGGATATAAAAACATTCTTGGGTAGCCACACTTAGTAAAGATACTACAATAAATCAAGGCTGCCATAAGGCGTGATCTCCACTGTGTTTTGAAACAGCCACTGGAGAGATGAGTTCTCTCTTTCCATTGGCTATCATGAATTATTACAACATTATTGCAACAGCCTACTTGAGCGGCAGAGACTGGACTACTTGGGTTAACAGGCCTGTCTTCTCTACTTGTTTAACCGTTTCTGATCCTATTGCCTCTGGGAGCAGATTACAGAATCTCCACAGGAGGGCAGGTGAGATACTCTGGGTGAAGCTCTCACAGAGCCCAGCTGACAAACCGTTCTTCCTCCCCCTTTACGCCTGCGAGTTCATCTGAGACGATGGGTGTCCATCTCATCTGAGATGAAAGCAGGCTTCGGGGCTTAACTTTTGTGACTTCTGTGGTCTTGAAATAACTATCGCTGCATTAGCTCTTCAGATGTGCCTTAAAAGCACTGCTGTTTTAAAAAAGAACGCCAGAGATTAGTATTCATCACGTACTGTTCACAATAGCCGTAGGTAAAATAGAAGCCATTGCAGCTTGTTGAGGGAGCAGTTGTATGGAGTCCAGCAGGCGCGCGGGATACATCCCTTCGGTGAGAGTCATCTGACTGGCAGCTTGCAGCCTTGAGTCAAAATCTACAACAAAGGCAATCAGCTCTTCACCCTCGGAGATGGCCTTGGTCGTGGTACACCAGAGCTGCCCTCCTACAGGAAACATAAAAGCACAAAAGATTTAACTGACAGTATCAGATTCCAGAACTTAAAAGATCAGTGCTGTAATTTCACACTCCTTTTTAAAATTTCGATGCCTTGTTCAAGGTAAAGAGGCAAATAATTTTTAGTTTTACTGTCTTCCTTCTATCAATACAGCAATTGTCCCCGTCTAAGGGTAACAATCTGGGGGATACTCTTCCAAACTATTTGCAGCGTGAATATTTATTTTGGTTTTTAAATTTTTCTCCTAAAAGGAGAAAAGCAAGATATAGGTGAAAATATTGTATATGGCATTTTTCTCATCATTTCTTTTCACCAAACTTACCGCGTATTTTTTCGTAACTCCTAGTTTGTTTTATATTGAATACCAAATCACAGCACAATAAAACTAAACAGCTGCAAGAAAGCAATCAGATTTCCTCTTAAGGGCGTTCTTCCCCTCCCTTGTGTTTGCCACCCTCTTTCTCTAAAAAAAAAATCTTCCCTTATGTAATATTCTTCGTAACGTGACTACTTTATCTCTGCTTACACTGACTGAACTTCCTGAAAAGAAGATATGCCAAAGATCTGTTTCATAAAGGCTTATTCAAATAAAGGTTTGTTTAAAATGGGGGGGAGGTGGAAGAACTTTCATCAAACAGTAAGATACACTATAGCTCTGTGCTGCAAATGTCACGTGTAGTGCATTAAAAAGAAAATTAACTATGCGAGTACATCTACTAATGTATTTGAATGCGATAGTGAATGCTCATTTATTTAACATGTTTAGACAGGCAAAGCACTTATATTGTGTTATCTACACTCTCAGGCCTAGATACATATCCAATACAGTTATGCCTGAAATTATGTTGCATACTTTATATGTTATAACGCTTTTTTTTTCCTCAGGTTTTGTATATATAGAAAAAGCTATATGTTGTATTCATTAGGCAAGCAAAAACTGTACTCGTTTTGATAAGTAATATTGCTGTGTTTATCTTTCGGCATAACTGCCTTTTCAACTGCACTTCATTTTTTTCCCCTCAAAGAGATTATAGTTTTAAAACAACTTGTTGCAAAAATCTGGTAGAGGAGATAACAACAGCGTATGATATGCCATAGCTAAATGGAAGAATTAGGACATTGTTTTAGAGAAATCTTGGACAATTAATTAAACCAGTCTATTAGCTTTCAAAGATGAGCAAACAAAACAGCATCAGTGACAATGTGTTTCAGTAGTAAAATAAAGCTAAGCTTCCAGACCTCAAAGTGGTGTAAAAGTTACAAAGCAGCAAAGTGTCTTTGTATTTACCGTCCACTAATACAGCTCCAAAGTCCACAATTTACTGGGACCAAAGCAACCTAAGGGTTACTAGCCTCCAAGACTGCAGCATTAAATGGTGCAAATCTGAGTAATTTCCTTTGAAGACTACGAAGATGAAATATGAAGATAGTGCTGTTAACTGTCTACAAATGCAGAATCCTAATGTCCAAGGCAGGAACTCAAACATCAGAAGAGCACAGTCTAACTTACTGTCTGATATGTTAGGAGTAAATATACAAAAGCCTTCAGAGTTAAACTGATATAAAACCTGCTCAACCAGGCCAAAGTGTACTTAATTAGTTTCATAGATAAAAGTGATGCACAACGCCACAAGTCGAGAACCTGCAACTGGGTGTTCTCACTGCAAACACCACACAGTTCATTTTCTGTGAGGAACAGGCCTTCCATTATTAACATGCCTTTCCATTTTATTCATATACAGAAGGTGTAATATTCAACCGACATGTATATTTTCATACAGAATCAGAGTGCTTCTTAAGACTGTATTATACACTGGATTTCTTAATAACATAAAAATGAGTCACTGCAGAAGAACCAACTGAGCCTTTCTGTATCCCAGCAAACATCTTGACATGCTGTACCCTTGGGGGTAAAAAAAAAAAGAAAAGGAAAGTGTAGTTGATTACTGGGTCTCCAGCTGCAATCAATCTGGATCAGCTAAAAGGCTGACTCAGTCTCCTGGTGTTAGAGCTCCTCAGGGTGTTGACTCATGTCCAGCAGCAGATTAAACTCTGACAGCTGAAGCCAGCAGTGACCTCGGCTGCCTGCTCCACCCAGCTCCTGGAGGCTGTCACACCTATGGCAGGCACAGCTGAGTGGCATCTGTGACAGCTTTGGAAGCCCAACAATCTCTAGCTTGGCTTATTGAAGGAAATCAGAATTACAGAATTTTAATCCACTCCTACATTTGAATACAAACCTTCAGCCCAGAGGGATTCAGATCCCAGAATCACATTGTTACTTTGTTTTCTTTCATCCAGCTTTATAGAAAACGGGGCACTTAAGGGATCATGACATGTTATGTCCATGTTTTCATCAGTATATGACATTGTGTTAAGTTAAATCACAAAGTTCAACTCCCAAATGATGCATTCTTCCAGCTCCTGCAAATGCAGTGTAATGCCTCTGGACCGGACACAGTACAGTCCCCTTTTGTCCCCTTCTCTGTCTGGCTGCACAGAGTAAGGCAATAGCTGCTGTTTTGAAAGATCCAAGTAACAATATTTATTCCCCTGTGAATCCAAACACACCGGCCTTCATGCACAGTGGGAAAACCATGGAAAAGAAGTCTTCTTGAGCCTTCCACCATAAAGGGAAATGGCATGCAGAGAACCTGGCAGAGGCTTTCAAATGTAATAGGAAGTTCCAATCATGACTATCATATGAATTATTATGCTATCTAGACACCCTTGTCAGGGATCAGAGCTTCCTTACAGGTGGTGGTTACAAAACAGGAAAGAAGCTCTTGCTTCCCACAAATATTTCTGTGAGCTAAGACACAAATGACATATACTCAGTAATTTCTCAGGAGCTCTTTATAAAGCAAGAGCAATGTTAACAACAGATTTGCAAAAGGATAGTAAGGATATCTCTAAACAGTCTTTGCCAAGTACCAGTGGTAATGGAGAAGGAGATAGGAAGATATTTGCTTGAAATATTTGCAGACGTGAAGATTTCAGAAGGAAATGTAGAGGCTTCTTACTTACGTAAGATGAAGTTTTGACTAAGTAAGTTGGCTAATTTATTTTTTTTGAAAAATAAACACCTGTTCCATTGTCAGTAAAAGCTTATGGAGATGAAATGGTTCTACCAAAGCTTTACCAGACCAAGTTTCTCAGTTCTAATATAGATGCAGTCAGCAGAAGGAGAGAAAGCAAACTTCAATGGGGATGAGTGACAGTGCCTCAGAAATGGAGTCATGGTTATACTATGTGGTCAGAAAGCAAGACAATGGTAGACTGGTGATTTTGGCCTTCTTTCCACCTGTAGTGAGTAGACTGGTCACCCACTTATACTAAAAAGGGTCCTACTGGTTTTACATGGTGTTTATGAAACGTCTAATTCTTGTTCCAGTTCAGAAGGAAATTTTCCGCAGTATCAGAAGGCTTTGTGACATTGGAAAGCTATTTTCTCTACAAGTCTAGTTCCGACTCTGTGAAACGGAAAATAAGCTTCTTGAGCCTTCAATATATTATTTTATATCTATGGTAAACCGAACAAATTTATGTGATATATAATACACATGTCAAGCAGAAGGAGAGAATAAAAATGTCCATAATCACTATGTATTTATTTTACCTCTTTTCTAGTTCACACTGCCATGAATTAGAAATCCTCACTTAATCACAGAAATTTGGGAAAGAAAAAATACTGTGTTGTGCAAACTAGAGCAAAAAATTAAATTCCAATTGCATTGGCATGAGTTCGTTATCAAATGACATCAGGCACTGAAGCAGATATCTGATACTTTCAGAGTTTCCACCAAACGAAAAGGTTATTTCAGGATTCTCTTCTTTGTCTGCATCTTTCACTGCAAACATTTTCGCTGCTTGAAAAAAAACCCACATAAAAACCAAAAAACCAACACCCTTAAAGAAACCCAACAAACTGACTTCCTATGCAAAGCAAAAAGTAAGGTCCTGATGTCCCTGAAAAACTGTGGACTTACTGTTCTTTGCAATGTTTATGATCAAGATTCTTGTGCAAACAGATCTGGTTCCTAACAGGAAGCTTATAAATCACACTCATAATTGCTGTCAAAACTGCAGTGGAGTGTACTGCAAGTTTCGATAATAAAGAATAGAGTCACAGTTCAAACTTGATTACATTTTGGAAATTCATGCTGCTCTTACAAGAATCAGTGGTCTTAAATATCTTCTCCTCCTGCCAAATTTTTCACTTGCACTTTTTATTATTTATGAAATCAGTGTCTGCACAATGTCATGCAGACCTCTGCTGATAAACTCTAATTAAGATTAAGACAAGCCTTTTGGAAAGGATCCCATCATTAGCAAAGATGATAAACACAAAAATACTCCCTACTTGTCAACCAGGAGCAATTCAGTAACCTAACAGTATTATCTGTTGCTAGGCTACAGAGCTGACAAAGCTTCAATTATATTGTATGGCCATACCTATAGAATACTATATAAGCAAAATGTATCTAATATAAAAGCATTTAACTTCATCCATGCTATCTGTAATTTATGGCTTCTTTCAATGGCAAAAATCAGGTTAATAATTACATAGCATGCTGGAAAAAATCTTAGCGATGTGTCATGTTTGCACATTTTTTTCTAATTTATCTCTACGACTGATAGACATTTGCTTTGTAAAAATAATAAAATGCAAGCAATGGGATGCTGTAAACCACAAACGCAACTACATCTGGGCTCATCAAGATATGGAACCACACTTAGTATAAAAAATATACAGTAAATTGAACCAATTAAATCATATTTAGATGCAGTAATACTCTATCTCCTGGATTCAGAATAAGGAGTACTGCGGTGCTAGATATGCATGCTAATATAAAACTTTATTTTATGTAGGACAGACATCTAAAACACAAGAGAAACTTGCTCTTTTTTTTTTTTTCTGTTGTACATTCGGATTTTTTTTAAACAAAGCAACCTTTATTATCCTCTTTGGAATCAGCAATTTACTCTGAAGACTTAACAAAAACCATGGCCCTTCACCTGTTCTGATTCTCAGAACCCTACACCACCTCCAGGCACAACACAGACCCCAGCACAGTGAGCCTTCTGACCGTGGGCTCCTTTCTTTTTCTTGCTTCTCTTCTGGAAAACCTTAAGGAGAGGCGGTCTGTGGGTCACAGTTTGGGAAAAAAAAGAAAAAAAGAAACAAAACATTAAGGACAGAATTCCCTATTAACTCCAGTGGGAGAAAAGCGATTCAAAATGTGTGGAGCCGTAGAGCCTCTTGATTTATACCATTGCTTTCACAAAATGTGACTTAAGAAAGAAAGTAGCTAAAAATGTTTCCATTGAGTACAGCTGTTTCATGGAAGGAAGTGCATCTATTTTTTTCACAGGTGAAGAAACACAACAACAATATAAAGACATATCCAAAGTAAATCCCAGTTTTCCTGTCTTTAGTATTAGTTGGTTTTCCTTCCCGAACCACTTGAGCCTAGGTTTTTTTGACTCAGAAATGGCATACACCTTCCAGAGAAATCCATGTCAATTTGTATTAAAACCAATTTTCAGTGCCAGCTAATTCAGAAGTACTACTTTCGTGTAGTAAAATTTGCGTTTACCGGATTTGATTGTGTTGCTGCAACAACATAATAGCCCATTTCCTGTACACACATCTTTTTGCAAGAAGGGTCAAAAGACTATCAGAATTTATTTAAACAACAGACTGTTCCCCTTAGTGACTTCCAGGCACCGTCAACTGAATTAAAGCCTCCTCCCCCAATGAAATCCTCCCGATTTGTAACAAAAAAAAAAATGCTTTTTGGTAATGGTAATGGGGGTTGGAGTTAACTTATTATCTTCCCTCCTTTGTTGCACAGGTTAAGCATTTAAGGAGAATTTGCACATCACAATAGGATGGGATCTTCATATTTGGGTTCCTCCTGCTTCTCACCCATGGGGTTGTGACGACTCAGCACAATGAATGCCATTTCGGCGCGGCACAAGTTACCGGGCGGATCTCTAATTTTTGACGTGAACAAAGTACGTATATCTATATGTAGCCACATTGTTTAATAAAAAATTATAATTAATTCAAATCCAATACTGTTGAAATTTTTGACAGTAGAGTGGTACAAGGAAGAGAACTTATAAATTATGTGTGCCCCTTCTTTGAAAAATGCTTTGGAGGTTTCTTTGTGCATTGGCAAATACAGTAGGAATATGAGGTATTGTGTGGATCCTCCTGCACAGCACCTGATAAAAGAATAAAGAGCTGTGACATATTCTTAAAACAATAGAGGAATTAAAGAGAAACAATGGGCCAGCTGCTTCATTAATACAATCAAAAGAGAGCCCAGCACAGAGGAGTCCAGATAATTAAGCACTACTCTTTTAGACCTTTTTTCTATAATAAAATTGCTAAAAATTTATTAACTACTTCATAGTTGTTAGATAGATCTATATACTTGTTTATTTGGGTTGATTAATGCCTTTTCAGTATTCTGCAACATGCCAACTCATGGTTCAAACAAGTTTTTGAATAAAATAATGTAAGAATAAGTGATACGGATCTGTGGTATATACAGCAATAAATCAAAAGCATTTTGTGAACAGTCTTTCCAGTGGCTAAATAATTCTTCTCATTTTTCGTATGTGTACACAAAATATATAATTTGCACAGCATTCTTGCTATCCATGTATTTCAATGCCAGAGTTCCAACCATCTCTCTGTCAAGTGTCTCAAATATCATCCCTGCAAATTCAGACTTCTCAAACTTTCACAAAAAATAGTTTTAGTGCTACATTAAGATTAAAGAGATGTTTTCCTAGAATCTTCTATCATCTCTCCTTGTTTACTGATCAAAGGAGATTTCCACAAGATACTTGACCTTTAATTTTAACTAAATCACTGCATATTATAAGCCTGCAGCATACTGGCTTCAAAAAAATGTAAAATCTATTATACTTCATAAAATTAGACCAATACAGTGGATAAACCACTTCTGTTGCCACTTTTACTATTACCTTTATGTTCAACTTAAAATTCGGAGCCTGCTTCACTTTTAACTCACTGAAAAACCTGCAAAATAAAGGAACTGCAACAATATTTTTCAGAACAGAACAACAGAAGAATACTCAGCTTAAAGGCACTAGCCAAATTGCTGAAGGTGGCTTTAAAATCCTGCATTTTGAGATATAAAATGTCTGACCAGAAGCAGGGAAGAAAAATACTCCACAATATAGCTCTTACTCCTGCACCTGAGTCAACCTGAGCTTTGGACCTGAGTTCAGCTTAGTCATATCCTGACAGCCGACAGCGTTTTTTTATCTGAATGGATGATTCTACAGTTGAAACTGTCGGGCATTATGCAGCTGATAAAAAGAAAAATATTCAAGGAACTTGCCAGTCCTAGGGGAGTGAACTCCCAAGCCGGGCATGTCTGTGTCAGTGTAAGGGGTAGGTCTTTCCCTCGCTGCAGTACAACTACTGCTAACATCACGATCTGTATTGCAGCAGCTCTAGAATTAACACAGCAAACCCCTTGATCAGCTGATCCCCAAATGAAGCACACAGTTTCCGAAGAGCAAGGTGTATGACACTTAGATTTGACCTCTTATTTTTGCCACTGTCGTCTGCCTGCTTTCCCTTAGTTTGAGGATTTCTATGCATTTCCTCCAATTAAATCCCTGCATGTAACATTCAACAGAGTTCTATTAGGTAAAAAGGCAAAATAGATTAGTGCTCCAAAAATATTCACAGGAAAATAATGTGGTAATTTTATTTGCCATTTTCCCCCCTGATAGAGCTGTCACAGCTTATTTACCACAGGGGGAGACAGTTAAACCCATATCCTTAGAAGTTCTATGCATTTAAGAGGCTTATATATCTCTTCTGGGACCCTCGTTCAAATCCTGGGCTAATCAGAGTGAATACATATCTTTCCATTAGATGGCTCTAAAAAGTCTTAGGTGATATCAGTTCCTGGTGGACGACAGTCCACAGCGTAAAACTATTAAATGTTTGGCACAAATGGCAATACTTACGGAATGAAGCTGAAAACTGTAATCACAAGAAGTTAAGTCTGCTGCTCAGAGGTTGAAATTAAAGCCTGCCACAAATGCTAAACCTGTTATATTTCCTTAATTCAGCATAAACTCAAACAAGTCGAAGGAGTTCTTTCACAAGTTTAACAATTTCTTCCTTTTTTAACCCCCCCTTTTCTTTCAAAATTCCTCTGTTTTGAATTGAGTGCTACACCATTTTTACATTTGAATTGGGACTCACTTGAATGTTATTTCAGAATTTACTAATCCTTCAGAAAGGAAATGATAAACAGCTTGGAAAAAAATGATAAACCCTTGCTGACACTGCCCACGTTGCACTCCCATCACCACTGCAAAGGAGCTGTGACTTATTGTTGCAGCAAACTCATCTCCCCTTTTACTTTTCACAGGATCAGTGAATGGTCACTCTCCAAAAACCTTCCCAGGAGACATTCCCAAGTGACTCCCAGTGCTTCCCCCAGCTTTTGTGGATGCACCAGGTGTCAGGGAGAGAGAAGACAGACTGCTGAAACCAACTGCTCTGAAGCAGGGCTTTGGATACACGCATTCCTACAGTCCCCGCTTCGCTCACAGCACAGCTGTAAGGTGACCTTTTTGTGGCCTTACAAACACAATCAGGCCTCTGGATTGTCTTCTCAGACTTATTTTGTGAGGCTGGAGTGTATGGAAAAAAAGGAGGTGATTAAATGAGACAATAGATATGCTTTAATGGCACCTCTTTCTTACAGAGAAAGCAGAGTCCACTACATCTTATCGATGGATTTTCTGCTGTCTTGCACCTGCTGCTGTAGGGCTCATTTCTTGCCCCTGGGCAAATGCAGAGTGAAAGGCAAAGGTACCTGAGAAAGGATTATATAGATGGAGCTGGATTAATAGGCTCTATTTGTGAAGGAAATAAACACATATAGAAGGGTAAATGGGGAAGTTATAGAATGGCAAAACCAAAGTAATAAATAAATATCGGCTATGAGACCTGCTTGGTTATTTAATACATGGCTCATGCTCCAGACGAAGCTCAAGGCTGTGCGTGAAACAAAAGCTACCTTGTAGGATGATCGGAATCTGGAGCATTTAGTTTTGTGCTCTGTATCCCTAAGAAAACAGTTCTATTGCTGCTAGTTATCTTGGACCACTCCTCACACTAACCTTCAGCTGGGAGGTTGAAGTGCAGGAACTAGTTTACCTTGTCTGTAACAACCCTGGAAGCAAAGCAGCCCTTCTTGATTAAAAAAATAAAAAATTTTGCTCTCACTTAAGCCATTAAAACATTTTACACTGGCTGCAGTGGAAACAAGACTGTGACAAATCAATGGCTCTCTTACTAAACAAATAACTAAGTACAAGGCATTAAAAGTAAATCTGCACATTTAACATGTTCTGTTTGCACATTTAGTGTGTTCCAAAACACAGATGTTGTAGAAGCTACAATAAGCATTTAAAGCAGTCTTTTCTATTTAAAAACTACCTCATTACAAAGAGCAACCACCAGCCACCCACAAAACCACCACCAAACTCCCATATTTCCTCCAAGTGTGTTAAAAAACAGGTATTAGAACTCTGCCTTTTGAAGTAGAAGCTAGTAGTAGAAGGACTGAAGAGCTGTAAGGATCAAAAGCATTTCCAGCTTCCAAGTTATATACAAAGTAAACAAGCATTGTAAACCAGTGCCAGTCTAATGTTTAGTTCATCTAATAAGAGAGACTGTTGGCAGCAGAAAGCAAATCCTGTAATGGTAACAGCAAGACCGAGCTACTTCTGATCACAATTGAAATTAAAAAAAAAAAAAAAAAAGGTTATGAACGAACACATTTTTAAGACACTTGCTGTACACACTACCATGGATTAGCAATTAAAAAGGATTCTGTACTTGATGATTTCTTCCAAAACAGGCTTAACAACAAATACCAGTTTACTGAGCATCATACAGGTGCATAGGAGCTGCCATTCTGCCTGCCTGGTCAGCATGATTTCTAAATAGCCAGGAAAGAAGTGACTGTATACCCAAAGGCAAGCTGTCAAAATTCAGGCTGCAGCTGATAAACTGATTACAAAGCTGCTTAAGACTTTGCTTGTAAACAAAAGCATTTATCAACTAATAATTTGCAATAAACTGATGTAACTCCCAGCTGAGCCCCAAACTGTAATTGTCTTTACCATCTGCCTATTAAAATACCATTCTTCATCACTGAGCAGGAGCAGAAGGGAGAGAATCTCCAAGAACTACATAACTTGCATGCTTATAAATAATCTGTGAGCATTTCACACGTTCATTATGATTGCCAGGTTTTGTATACTTCATTTTCTCTTTTTGAGAGGCAAAGAGGTGCTGTAAAGCGGCAGAAAAGAAATTAATAAATACCGCCTGGTGCAAGAAAAAATTATGTAAGTTCATCACACTCTGCAGTTTCTTAATTTTTTCCTCTTTTTGCTACTCCATAGGAATATCATGATGGAAGCCCCCTCAAGCACAACTTGGCAGATTAAACTCCCAATTTCTTTTCAACTTGTCAGTTTTCATTACCTTTCTTTCTTATGCATTCACTTCTTACAGCTGCTTCAATGGGAAGCCAGTTAAAGCATGCTGGCTCCCCAGGGGGAGTGTGCTGGGGTCTCAGGGATTCTGCAGATTCCGTGGACCTCTGCAGGGTCATCCTTAAGAGTATTTTGCCTATCTCGCTGAGAGGCTTTCTGAAAATTAAGTGAAGGCACATGCTTTTATTTTCTAGCTAATGACAGCCTTGGTCCTGGGAAAGGCAGCAGAGTCTAGACAAAGTCCAAAATCAACCAGTTCAGATGCTCTGAAGCTGATACACCCCAAAGGAAGAATTACTTTGTTAAATGGCTAAAGTATTTAAGTATGAGGTGAAGAAAACACAAGAATCGATACCTTGCAGAGAATGGAACCCCCTCAAGGTGTGTCTGCATTAAAAATTGAATTTAACAGAGAATTGCACTATGATTTAGTGAGATGCACTAGACCAAATATTTCTGCAATGTGCGC